CTACTCGGGAGGCTGAGGCAGGAGAATGGCGTAAACCCAGGAGGCGGAGCTTGCAGTGAGCTGAGATCCGGCCACTGCATTCCAGCCTGGGTGACAGAGCGAGACTCCGTCTCAAAAAAAAAATAATACAATTTTAAAAAAAAGTAAAAATAAAAATGAATAAATTTGGAGGACTGCGTACAGTGGCTCACGCCTATAATCCCAGCACTTTGGGAGGCAGAGGTGGGTAGATCACCTGAGGTCAAGAGCTCAAGACCAGCCTGGCCAACATAGTGAAACCCTGTCTCTACTAAAAAAAATTAGCCAGGCATGGTGGCATGTGCCTGTAGTCCCACGTACTTGGAAGGCGGAGACAGGAGAATCACTTGAACCTGGGAGGTGGAGATTACAGTGAGTGGAGATCATGCCACTGCACTCCAGCCTGGGCAACAGAGCAAGACTCTGTCTCAAAAAAAAAAAAAAAAAAAAAACAGGAAGATCAGACCTTATCAGTACCTAAACTTTGCTTCCTCCTTGTGAAGGGCTGCAAAGAACACATTGCTGTAAGGATGTGCCATCGTGGAACCTGCCCCTGGTGGCTAACATTTGGTCCTGTCTCAGGCCACTCCAAACATGGCTGCAGTTTAGGTCTTTCTATATGTATTGTTTTGTGTGCACATAGACAAGTTCATCTATAAATTGTTAGAAATGGAATTGCTGAGTCAAAGGGTCTGTACATTTAAAAAGAAGTTTTGTTTGTTTGTTCGTTTGTTTTGTATGAGACAGGTCCATGCTCTGTCACCCAGGCTGGAATGCAATGGTGAAATCATAGCTCACTGAAGCCTTGTACTCCTCGCTTCAAGTCCTCCCAACCTCAGCTTCCCAAAGTGCTGGGATTACAGGGGTGAGCTAGTACTCCCTGCTCTTTTTTTTACACTTTTTTTTTTTTTTGAGATGGACTTTCACTCTTGTTGCCCAGGCTGGAGTGCAATGGCACGATCTCGGCTCACTGCAACCTCTGACTCCTGGCTTCGAGTAATTCTCCTTCCTCAGCCTCCTGAGTAGCTGGGATTACAGGTGCGCACCTCCACACCCAGCTACTTTTGTATTTTTAGTAGAGACAGGGTTTCTCCATGTTGGTCAGGCTGGTGTTGAACTCCTGACCTCAGGTGATCCACCTGCCTCGGCTTCCCAGAGTGCCGGGATTACAGGCTTGAGCCTCTTTTACATGTTTAATTGAAATGTCATTGGTGTACTTCTTTTGTTTACATCAATCTATAGCATCATGAATCGTCACACACCGAACATACTCCTTGACTAGCAGATCTAAAAGTGGATTGTTCCGGCCTCCAGAAGTCCCTTTCTGCTCCCACGTGGTTACTAACCCCCTAAGGTCACTACTGTGTTGATGTCTACCCATGTGAATTTACTCTGTTTGCTTGAGCCCTTGCATAGTAAGGGCTCTATATGCATTGTTCATATTGCAAAGATACTACTAAATGGTCCTTCAATGAGTGATAGCAGTTTCCACTCTCACCAGACATGTGTGAAGGCCAGTTCCCAAGCCCTTTCCAACGAAGTGGCTCATTAAACCTGTTTTTTTTTTTTTTTTCTTTTTTGAGACGGAGTCTTGCTCTGTTGCCCAGGCTGGAGTGCAGTGGTGTGATCTCAGCTCACTGCAACCTCTGCCTCCTGTGTTGAAGTGATTCTCCTGCCTCATCCTCCCAAGTAGCTGGGAATACAGATGTGCACCACCACGCCCGGCTAATTTCTGTAGTTTTAGTAGAGAGCGTGTTTCACCGTGTTGGCCAGGCTGGTCTTGAACTCGCGAACTTCTGATCCACCCGACTTGGACTCCCAAAGTGCTGGGATTACAGGCATGAGCTACCACACCCAGCCTCATTAAACCTTTTGGCTTTATTATGTATGAGACAGATGGTCTTTTCCCTTATTAAGAATCCATCGATATTTTCTGGGAACTGCCCTGATTTTTTTTGCCATTCTTCTATTGAGCTGTTAGGTTCTTTTGTTGTTTTTGTTTGTTTGTTTGTTTGTTTGTTTTTTAATAAAGAGGCTTGCATTTTTTGCTGTTTGCAAGAAAGTATTTTGAGCAAAATAACTTTGACACTTTCCAGTCCTTTTTCCCCTACCAACATTTTAACAGCTTTTTTGAGGTATAATTGCACTACACCTCAATAGACTGCGTATTTAAAGTGTACAAGTTGACACCTTTTGACATATACTTGTGAAAAATTACCCCAGTCAAGATAATGTTTCTTCTAATTTTTTATGTTCAAAATTTTTCAAAGTACCAAAATGCTGAAATAACAGAACAAGAAATAGCTGCAAACGTCTCCCCTAAAGTCACCAGTTCTTACATTTCCCCCCAAACTTTTTTCTCTGCAAACACATCTCACAGGCGCATACACACACGCACACACATTTATTTTCGGTTTTTGGCAGGATCATTTGAAAGTTGCAGACATCTTAATACTTTTTCCTACAGAACCACAATCCCATTGTCTCAGCCAAGAAACTGAAATATAGTACAGTGTTTTGTAATATACAGTCCATATTCAAATTGTCTCTATAGCTCATAAAAAATCCACACCCCAGTTAAGGACTGCTCATGCTTTTGGTCTTCATGTCTCTAGTCTGTCAGAGTTCCCTCACTTTTGGTGGAGGAAGGGACTTAATTATGAATTTGTTTTCAGACAGGCTGTCACTCTGTAGCCCAGAATGGAGTGCAGTGGCGCAGTCTCAGCTTAGTGCAATGTCTGTTTCCTGGGTTCAAGCGATCCTGCCACCTTAACCTCCTGAGTAGCTGGGATCACAAGTGTGTGCCACCATGTCTATTTATTTATTTATTCATTTATTTATTTTTTGTATTTTTCGTAGAGACAGGGTTTCTCCTCGAAACCCCTGTGTTGCCCAGGCTGGTCTCTTAACTCCTGGGCTCATGCAGTCCTCCCACCTTGGCCCCCCAAAGTGCTGGGATTATAGGCGTGAGCCACTGCCCCTGGCCCAGTAAGGGACTTTTACAGCATCGACTTTTTTAAAGACTACAGACTGAATTTTTTTTTTTTTTTTGAGCTATAATTCATATCCCATACAACTTATTCATTGAAAGCTCAGCAGTTTTTAGTATATTCACAGCACTGTACAGCTGTCACTACAGTCAATTTTAGAACATTTGCATGTTCTAAAAGTTCTTACAAAAAGAAACTCTGTACCCATTAGCAGTCCCTACTTTTTTCCTTTGCCCCAACTCCCAGCCTTAAGCAACTGCCAGTCTGCTTTCTGTCTCTATGACTGAGCCTCCTGTGGGCTTTTCATAAGAACGGAGTCCTGTACAATCTGGCCTTTTGTGTCTGACTTCTTTCACTTAGCCTAACGTTTACAAGGTTCATCCATATTGCAGGATCAGTACTTTATTCCTCTTTATGGCTTTTTATTTACCTGATCATCGATTGATGAGCATTTGGGTTTATGTCACTTTTTGTCTGTTATAAATGATGCTACTCTGAACATCCATGTGCAGATATTTGTGTGGACATATGTTTCCAGTATTTTGTGTTGCATACCTAGGAGTGCAGTTGCTGGGTCATACAGGAACTTTTTGTTTAACACTTTGGGGAACCGTCACCCATTTCCAAGGCAGATGTACCATTTTACCTGCCTACCAGCAAGGTAGGAGGGGCCTCGTTTCCCCACATCCTTGTCAGCACTTGCTATGGTCTACCTTTTTGATTCTAGCCATCTTGGCAGAGGTAAAGTAGTATCGCTGTGGTTTTGTCTTTTTTTTTTTTTTTTCTTTTTCCTTTTTGTGGAGAACGGGGTCTCGCTATATTACCCAGGCAGGTCTCAAACTCCTGGGCTCAAGCTATCCTCCCGCCTCTGCCTCCCTGAGAGCTGGGATTACAGGCGTGAGCCACCGCGCCCGGCATCGCTGTGGTTTTGACAGACCAGAACTGGTTTGTTTGTTTGTTTGTTTGAGACGGGGTCTCGCTCTGTTGCCCAGGCTGGAGTGCAGTGGTGCGATCTCAGCTCACTGCAAGCTCCGCCTCCCAGGTTCATGCCATTCTCCTGCCTCAGCCTCCCGAATACCTGGGACTATAGGCACCCGCCACCATGCCCGGCTAATTTTTTGTATTTTTAGTAGAGACAGGGTTTCACCGTGTTAACCAGGATGGTCTCGATCTCCTGACCTCATGATGCACCTGCCTTGGCCTCCCAGAGTGCTGGGATTACAGGCGTGAGCCACCGTGCCCGGTCCAGAACTGTCTTTTGAGCTGTCCCACAGTGTGTATTATCTGATTATTTCCTCTGGGTTAGGCTCAGACTTAGCTTTCATGGCAAGAATTCTACAGAAGGCGCCGTGTGTCCTTGCACCACATCGGGGCTCGTGGTGTCTGTTTGTGCCATCACTTTCTTGTTGGTTGACGCTGAGTTTGATCCCTAGGTTGAGGCTGGGCAGGCTCGCCACGCTGGGGGTGCCCTTTCCCCTCTGTGGTTCATACGTGGTCTGTATGTATGTTCCAGCATTTTCCGTTCATCTGGCCTTTGCATTTCTGTGCGTTCTTCAGATGCTTGGGAAACCGCTGAATGGCAGAATCTCCCACCCCCCTCCCTGGCTTGCTCATCAAGATGCCTTTGCCCTCATGACCTGATTTTCCACAGGACCCATTTGTATGTGCCTGAGGGTGATGGAGGTAAAGCGAGATGAGGATGCAGGAAGGCCGCTATCACCCAACCCCAGTGTTGGATGTCCCCGGGTGTTGGATGTCCCCACCTGACTGCTGTAAGAAGAGGGCTGATGAAATCCCAGGCTTGAAGCAATCTTGTTCCCTCCCACAGAGGCGATGGCTGGGCCTTGTTTGTCTGAGGCCTCAGGCATCCATAGTTTGCTCACCTTGTCCTCATATTTCAACTTTCCGTTCTGAAAACTGTCCAACATACCCAAAGGCAGGGAGAGTAGAGTGAACCCTCGTTCACCCAGGTCTTCCCATGTAGCAACTTTCTGCCATTCTGGTTGCTTCTTTCCTTCCTAAATTTTTTTTGGGGGGTGCCTGGAATAATATTTTAAAGCTGATCCAAGATATTAGTTCACCTTTGCATATTTCAGTTAGCATCTTTAACAATACAAATTTTGTGAAAATGAAAACCACAATACCGGCCAGGCATGGTGGCTCATGCGTGTAATCCCAGCACTTTGGGAGGCCAAGGCAGGCAGATCACTAGAGGTCAGGAGTTTGAGACTAGCTTGGCCAACACGGTGAAACCCCGTCTCTACTAAAAATATAAAAATTAGCTGGGCATGGTGGCACTCACCTGTAATCCCAGCTACTCAGGAGACTGAGGCAGGAGAATCGCTTGAGCCCGGGAGGCAGAGGTTGCAGTGAGCCTAGATCGCACCATTGCACTCCAGCTTGGGTGACAGAGCGAGACATCTCTCTGTCTCCAAACAAAACAAAACAAACAAACAAACCCCACAATACCATCATCACAGCTTATTCCTTGACATCTAATGCAGCTCCATTTTCTGATTTCCCTGACCCAAAATGTCTTTTTATAAAATGCTTTGTTTGAATTTGGATCTAAACAAGTCTACACATGAAGTATCTTTTAAGTCTCTTTTTTAAATTTTTAATTTTTTTTTTTATTTTTTTGAGACAAAGTCTTGCTTTGTCACCCAGGCTGGAGTGCAGTGGCATGAACAGCTCACTGCAGCCTCAACCTCCTAGGTTCAACGATCCCCCAATCTCCTGCTGAGTAGCTGGAACCACAGGTACATGCCGTCATGCCCAGCTAATTTTTTAATTTTTTATAGAGACGGTGTCTTGACATGTTGCCCAGGCCAGTCTCTAACTCCCAGACTCAAATGATCCTCTGGCCTTGGCCTCCCAAAGTGTTGGGATTACAGGCGTTAGCCATCATGCCCAGCCCCAAGCCTTTTTAAAAAATAAATTAACGTTATTCTTTCTATGAGTAGAGTTTAAAAAATAGTCTGTTCTTTTAGAGTTATAGAAAAATTGTGAAGATAATACAGGGAGTCGCCATATACCTCTCACCCCATTTCCCCCATTATTAAAGTTGTATATAGATGTTCTATTAATGAACCAATATTGTTACATCAATTATTCGCTGAAGTCTGTAATTCAGACTTCCGTAGTTTTTCCTACCACCCTTTTCTGTCCCAGGATCCCATCTGGGATCCCACCCGACATTTGGTCCTCAGGTCTCCCGAGGTCCTCTTGGCTGGGAGTTTCTCAGGCTCTACTTATTTTTGATGACCTTGACAGTTTTCAGGAGCATTGATCAGGAGTTCTCCCCTCCCCTCCCCTCCCCTCCCCTCCCCTCCAGACAGAATCTTCCTCTGTCACCCAGGCTGGAGTGAAGTGATGTGATCTCTGCTCACTGCAACCTCTGTCTCCCAGGTTCAGGCAATTCTTCTGCCTCAGCTCCTGAGTAACTGGGACCACAGTTGCATGCCATCATGCCCAGCTAATTTTTGTGTTTTTAGTAGAGACAAGAGGTTTCACCATGTTGGCCAGGCTGCTCTTGAACTCAAGTGATCTGCCTGCCATGGCCTCCCAAAGTGCTGGGATTACAGGCGTGAGCCACCGCGCCCAGCCGGTCAGGGATTTTGTAGGATGCTCCCTATTGGAATTTGGCTGATGTTTTTCTCATAATGAGACTGGGTGATGGGTTTTGGGAAGGAAGACACAGAATTAAGGGCTATTATCATCCCGTCACTTCCATAGTACAGCGAATCATCATGATTTACATCACTTTTAATTTTAATGCCCCCACCTCATGCTTTTTCTTGGATGTCATCTTATTCTGTGGAGAAGCTGGGTCTCACCCCATAGCATCTCCGCCATCTGCATCTGGCCGGGTGCATCTTCATGGTGGTGTTTCCCTGTGCCCCATGTCCCAGATCCCCAAGAACCAGTGGTTAGATCTAGAGGCCTGGCCAGGGACAGTGACTCGTGCCTGTAATCCTAGCACTTTGGGAGGCCGAGGCGGGCAGATCACTTGAGGTCAGGAGTTCAAGACCAGTCTGGCCAACATGGTTGAAACCCCATCTCTACTAAAAGTACAAAAAGGTAGCCAGGTGTGGTGGCTTACACCTGTAATCCCAGCTACTCAGGAGGCTGAGGCACAAGAATTGCTTGAATACGTGGGGTGGGGAGCGGAGGTTGCAGTGAGCCGAGATCACACCACTGCACTCCAGCCTGGGTGACAGAGCAAGACTGTTTCAAAAAAAAAAAAAAAAAGATCTAGAGGCCTGATACGATTCAGGCTTGCATTTTCACCTGATTTCTGATGGAACCGCCTCCAGGCTTGGGGCTTCTCTGTAAGCTCCTGTGTTTGTGTACAGTGCAACCCAGTCGCCTAAACAGCAGACATACATTTTCTCCCATTCTGGAGGCTGGAAATCTGAGCTCGAGGTGCCAGGGTTGCTTTCTCCTGAGGCCCTGCGTCTTGGCTTGCAGATGGCCGCCCTCTCCCTGTGTCTTCGAGTGGTCTTTCCTCTATACATCTGGGTCCTACTCTCCTACTTGCATAAGGACAGCAGTCAAATCGGATTAGGGCTCACCTTTAAGATCTCATTTCAACTTAATCACTTCCGTAAAGACCCTGTCTCCAAATACAGTCCCATTCTGAGATCCTGGGGTTTAGGGCTTCCACATAAGCCTTTCGGGGGACACAGTTCAGCCCATGTTATTCCCCCCAGGGCTCCTATGTCTCCATCCACACAAAGTGGGTCAGGGTCTAACACACCAGAGCAGGCGGAGCTGGCCCCACAGGGAACAGCAACTCCTCCAGCCAGATGGTTAATCGGCAGGTGATGGGATCCTCCCTGAATTCACCCTCCCCTGCCCGGGGCAAGTTTTCAGGAGGGGACAGGTGCTGTTCTTTCCACCGTGAGAAAGAACCTCTGACCTGCACCTTTCTTAGCAATGCCAGGAGCTGCTCGGGCACGCCAGCCTCTCAGGCATGGCAGGTTTCAGAGCACCTGCCTGTCAGCTTGTGTTACATGGGAGGTGACCGCTCGGCTTGCAGGGAGTTCCAGGTTGCCACCCTGCAGCCCATGAATCCAACAAGTACCTCAGCCGCTCCGACACACTGGGCACCTGCCGTGTGCTGGGCGCTGTGCTGAGGTCTTTACAGGTTCTGCTCTTGAATCCGCTCTTAGTCCCATTTCTCCCACGGCGGAGAAAACTGAGGCACAGAAAGGTTCAACAGTATGAACAGGAATGTCCCTTCCTCCCAAAATAACTGCTTCCACGCACCCTTTCCTGGGCACTTGGTGGCATTTTTAAAAGCCTGTATTCTCTTTTTTTTTTTTTTTTGAGATGGAGTCTCACTCTCTCACCCAGGCTGGAGTGCAGTGGCGCAATCTCGGCTTACTGCAAGCTCTGCCTCCTGGGTTCATGCCATTCTCCTGCTTCAGCCTCCCGAGTAGCTGGGACTATAGGCGCCCACTACCACTCCCAGCTAATTTTTTTGAATTTTTTAGTAGAGACGGGGTTTCACCGTGTTAGCCAGGATGGTCTCGATCTCCTAACCTCGTGATCCACCCGCCTCGGCCTCCCAGAGTACTGGGATTATAGGCATGAGCCACCGCACCCAGCCTGGCTTGCTATTCTTTTCTCACAAAAGCCTTTCGTTTTCCCTCCATTTGAACAAATTATAGAAATTGCTATATACTGTCTGGTCGCGGTGGGTCACGCTTGTAATCCCAGCACTTTGGGAAGGTGGATGGATCATCTGAGGTCAGGAGTTTGAGATCAGCTTGGCCAACATGACAAAACCCTGTCTCTACTAAAACTATAAAAATTAGCCGGGTATGGTGGCACATGCCTGTAATCCCAGCTACTTGAGAGGCTGAGGCAGGAGAATTGCTTGAATCCACAAGGCAGAGGTTGCAGTGAGCCGAGGTCATACCACTGTACTCTAGCCTGGGTGACGGAGCGAGGCTCTGTCTCACCCCCCAGCAAAAAAATTGCTGTATATTGACAAACATATACAAGTCACACATATTTTAAAGAATTGTAGGTTGAGCGCGGTGGCTCACACCTGTAATCCCAGCACTTTGAGAGACTGAGGCAGGCAGATCACCTGAGGTTAGGAGTTCAAAACCAGCCTGGCCAACATGGCAAAACCCTGTCTCCACTATTTTACAAAAACTAGCCAGGCTTGGTGGCGCGTGCCTGTAATTCCAGTTACTTAGGAGGCTGGGGCAGGATAATCGCTTGAACCTGGGAGGGGGAGGTTGCAGTGAGCTGAGATGGCGCTAATGCACTGTAGCCCAGGTGACAAAGCAAGACTCTGTCTCAGGAAAAAGAAAAAAATTGTGACAGGAAAAGCTGGGCATGGTAGCAGCTGCCTGTGGTCCTAGCTACATGGGAGGCTGAGGTGGGAGGATTGCTTGAGCCCAGGAGTTTGAAACTGCAGTGAGCCACAATTACCCCCACTGTACTCCAGGCTGGGCAACAGAGCAAGACCCTGTCTCCAAAAAAAGGGGGGTGGGGCATACATTCTGTAATCTATTTACTCATTATTATTACTTTCTGCTATTTCTTGATGTTGCTGGATACGTCCATCCTTTGTTTTTGTTGCTGTGGATACGGACTCCATTTTATGAGCAGGTCACTGTCTTATGTGTCTCTTCCATTGTCCACGTATGTCTGGCCTGCCTGCAGCTCTTTAGTGCAGTGCTGCTCTGAAGGAACATGTGCAACTGCCTCTCTCAGTCAAGGTCCTCAACCTGGAGTGTGCATGAGCATCACCAGGAGGCCTGTGGAAACGGATTGCGGGGCTCCATCCCTGGAGAGTCTGAGGCAGTGGATCTGGGTGGGGCCCTGAGAGTCTGCATTTCTGGCAAGCTCCTGGGTGATGCTGCTGCTGGTCCGGGCACCACCACACTGTGAGAACCACTGAGCTGGGATGTGTGCCGTGACGTGGAATCTCTGAAAGACCTCTTCGTGGTTGTGGTTCTGATTTACGCTGGTCTTCTGCAGGCCCTCCTCCCAGATCCCCCCACCGACCCCCACCCAAGGGAGGGGCAGTCACCCTCCTCTTCTCTCTAATGCAGCGGTCCTCAACCTTTTTGGCAGCAGGGACCGGTTTTGTGAAGACAGTTTTTCCATGAACTGGGTGGGGGGATGGTTTCGGGATGATTCAAGCACGTTATGTTTATTGTGCACTTTATTTCTATTATCATTACATTGTAATACAGAATGAAATAATTATACAGCTCACCATAATGTAGAATCAGTGGGAGCACTGAGCTTGTTTTCCTGCAACTAGACGGTTCCATCTGTTCCGTCTGGGGGTGATGAGGGACAGTGACAGATCATCAGGCATGAGGTTCTCACAAGGAGCATGCAACCTAGGCCCCTCGCATGCAGTTCACAATAGGGTTCACGCTCCTGTGGAAATCTTTTTTTTTTTTTTTGAGACAGAGTCTTGCTCTGTTGCCCAGATTGGAGTGCAATGGTGTGATCTCAACTCATAGCAACCTCCACTTCCCAGGTTCAAGCGATTCTCCTGCCTCAGCCTCCCAAGTAGCTGGGATTACAGGCGCTCACCGCTACACCTGGCTAAATTTTTTTGTATTTTTACTAGAGACGGGGTTTCAACATGTTAATCAGACTGGTCTCGAACTCCTGACCTCAGGTGATCCACCTGCCTCGGTCTCCCAAAGTGCAGGGATTACAGGCGTGAGGCACTGCACCCAACCATCTTTTTTTTTTTTTTTGAGATGCTGTCTCCCTCTATCGCCCAGACTGGAGTGCAGTGGCACAATCTCAGCTCATTGCAACCTCTGCCTCCCAGGTTCAAGCAATTCTCCTGCGTCAGCCTCCCAAGTAGCTGGGATTACAGGCGTGCACCACCACGCCCAGCTAATTTTTTGTGTTTTTAGTAGAGACGAGGTTTCGCCACATTGGCCAGGCTGGTCTTGAACTCCTGGCCTCAGGTGATCTACTCGCCGTGGCTTCCCAAAGTGCTGAGATTACAGGCATGAGCCACCATGCTCAGCCTAAAATTTTTTCTTAAGGTAAATTAGAGATAGGGTCTCATTTTGTTGCCCAGGCTGGTCTCAAACTCCTGGGCTAAAGCAATCCTCCCACCTCAGCCTCCCAAAGTGCTGGGATTATAGGTGTGAGCCACCATGCCCAGCCTCTATACTATTTTTTAGGGCTAAAATGTTGGTGTCCTCATAGGACATTGTGAAGTCAATGCTTCTGTTAGAATATTGGACATTGGCTGGGCACGGTAGCTCATGCTTGTAGTCCCAGCACTTTGGGAAGCACTTTGGGAGGCCTAGGAAGGCGGATCACTTGAGGTCAGGAGTTCGAGACTAGCCTGGTCAACATGGTGAAACCCCATCTCTACTAGAAATACAAAAACTAGCCGGGTGTGGTGGCAGGCACCTGTAATTCTAGCTACTCAGGAGGCTGAAGCAGGAGAATTGCTTGAACTCAGGTGGCAGAGTTTGCCTTAAGCCGAGATTGCACCAGTGCACTCCAGCCTGGGTGACAGAGTGAGACCATGTCTCAAAAAAAGAATAATATTGGATGTCGACAGGAGTCTTGAACACTTACCATGTGCTTAAAGCATTTCACGTGAATATCCCATGTAAAGCTCACAATAACCAGATGAAATAGCTACTGTTATCTCCATTGTTAGTGCAAACCCTGAAGCCCCAGAGAGCTTATGAATATATATAATATGCTCATGGAAACCCAGCTAGTAAGAGGCAGAGCTGGGATTTGAACCCAGGCAGTCGACAGCCCGGCTTGTGCTTTCTCAGCCACAGTGCTACCTCTGAGGTTATTGGCATTTTCTACTCTCCTAGTTCCTGATTCAGCCCTGCTCTTATCTCCTCTGTCCTGTAGGAACCATCCAGTCTAAAATGCTGTAGCTAGCTGGGCATGGTGGCTCATGCCTGTAATCCCAGCATTTTGGGAAGCTGAGGCTGGTGAATCATGAGGTCAAGAGATCGAGAACATCCTGGCCAACATGGGGAAACCCCATCTCTACTAAAAATACAAAATTAGCTGGGTATGGTGGTGCATGCCTGTAGTCCCAGCTACTCGAGAGGCTGAGGCAGGAGAATCGCTTGAACCCAGGAGGCGGAGGTTGCAGTGAGCTGAGATCGTGCCACTGCACTCCAGCCTGGCGACAAAGTGAGACTCAAAATAAACTACTGTAGCTGCCCAGGTGTGGTGACTCACACCTATAATCCCAGCACTTTGGGAGGCCGAGGTGGGCAGATCACCTGAGGTCAGGAGTTCAAGACTAGCCTGGCCAACATGGTGAAACCCTGTCTCTACTAAAAATACAAAAATTTTAGCTGAGTGTGGTGGTGCAAGCCTGTAGTCCCAGCTACTTGGGAGCCTGAGGTGGGAGGATTGCTTGAACTTGGGAGGTGGAGGCTGCAGGGAGCCGAGATCATACCACTGCACTCCAGCCTGGGTGACAGAGCAAGACCCTGTCTCAAAAAAAAAAAAAAAAAATGCTGTCGCCAATTCACAGAGGCATTTACCCTGCACACAGGAGTCAAGTGGCCCATGTACGTGGGTTCTATTATGGCAGCACTCTATGTGCTGCAGCCCTGCAGAATCCCGGCCCCCATAGATACTTTGGTCAGCCCTTACAAGGGAAGGGGTGTGTTTTACTCAGTTTTGCTCAGTTGTTGGGCTGTCATCAATTTGTATCAAGTTCAAGTTCATCCCCTGGGCCAGTAGACCACTTGGGTGGCATTCATCCTGGGCTCGCTCTTTTTTCCCCGTAATAGCAAAGGCTGGAAACCACACAGGTGTCCGTGAGTAGGGGCCTGGCTCCAGGTGTGCCATCTTTTAAAAAGGGTGGGGCAGCTCTGTGTGTTCTGAGTGTGAGTGATCTCCAAGATAAGAGTGTTGCACGAGAAAAGCAGCTCAGCTGTACACCTGTGCTGCCACTGTGGAAAGAATATGTCTGTGCCGTTATTCACCTGGCACATCTAAGGAAGGGTTCACAAGCGAGTGGTCATAGTGGTTCCTCTGGAGGGGGATTCAGGTTGCCAGGAAATGAGAGGGAAGGCTTACTGTCCACTGAATACCTATTGGTAGGCTTGAGTTTTATGCTACATGTATACAATATCACTTTAAAAAAAAAAAAAAAGTTAAAATGAGGCTGTATCTTGTATTCATGTTTCTTTAGCCCTGTGTCACCTGGAGGGCAAATGAAGACCTCAGGGGCCCGGGGTCCTTAGAGTTGGATAGAGCATGGGGCTCTATCATTACCAGCTTCTTAGGAGCAGAAACTTCCACTCTTTAAAAATGAGAAATTGCAGGGTGCGGTGCAGTGTTTCACGCCTGTAATCCCAGGAATTTGGGAGGGCCAGGCAGGAGGATCGCTTGAGGCTTAGAGTTTGAGACCATACACATCTAGATGTGTATAAGAGACAGGTTGTTAGAAATGCAGATGATCGGTCGGGCGTGGTGGCTCACGCCTGTAATCCCAGGAATTTGGGAGGGCCAGGCAGGAGGATCGCTTGAGGCTTAGAGTTTGAGACCAGCCTGGGCAATATAGCAAGACCCCGTCTCTACAAAATAATAATAATAACAATAATAATAATAAAGCCTGGTGTGGTGGCTGCACCTATAGCCCTAGCTACTTGGGAAGCTGAGGCGGGATTGCTTAAGCCTGGGAGTTTGAGGCTGCAGCGAGCTATCATTGCACCACTGCACCCCAGCTTGGGCAGCAGCGAGACCCTGTCTCTTTAGAGAAATCAGGCAGAAGGCCGGGCATGGTGGCTCAAGCCTGTAATCCCAGCGCTTTGGGAGGCCAAGACGGGCGGATCACGAGGTCAGGAGATCGAGACCATCCTGGCTAACACGGTGAAACCCCGTCTCTACTAAAAAATACAAAAAACTAGCTGGACGAGGTGGCGGGCGCCTGTAGTCCCAGCTACTCGGGAGGCTGAGGCAGGAGAATGGCGTGAATCCGGGAGGTGGAGCTTGCAGTGAGCTGAGATCCGGCCACTGCACTCCAGCCTGGGTGACAAAGCGAGACTCCGTCTCAAAAAAAAAAAAAAAGAGAAATCAGACAGAAGAAAGCAGAGACCCTGACCCAAGAGGGAGCATGAAAGACAGCAGGAGCAATGGCAAGCGGCGTAACGCGGCCCTGCAGAGTCCCAGCCTCCATACGTGCCTTGTTCAGCCCTTCCAAGGAAGGGGTCATTTTCACCAATTTTTCTCAGCTGGGCTGTCATCAGTATCCAGTTCAAGTCACTCCCCTGGGCGTGTGTGGTATTCATCATGGACGTGCGGTTTTTCCCTTCCCAGGTATAAACTCCCGGGCTCCCCGGTTCACTGCTTGACAGATAGAGGAAAACAGCTGAGTGGTGAGTAGAAATTGGGTGATGACTGTTTTCTTGTTTCTGCAGTTCTTGGCCAGGCTGACCGAGAGGTTCGTGTTGGGAGTGGATATGTTCGTGGAGACACTGTGGAAAGTGTGGACCGAGCTCTTGGATGTTCTTGGACTTGATGGTAGGTGTGGGGGTGGCATTCACGTAAGGTGTCATTCTATTTTGGTGGTTCTGGTGGTGTGGAACTGGTACTCACAGTGAGTAATACGTGAGAAGGTTGCGGAGGGCTGGTCAGTGAGGATAGGAGTAAACATTTTTTATTTTAATAGTCTCATATAGAGGCTAGGCACGGCGGCTCATGCCTGTAATCCCAGTGCTTTGGGAGACCAAGGTGGGACGGTTGCTTGAACCCAAGAATTCCAGACCAGCCTGGGCAATGTGGTGAAATCCCATCTCCACAAAAAAAGTACCAAAAAATTGCTGGGTGTGGTGGTGTGCACCTGTAGTCCCCAGCCACTCGGGAGGCTGAGGCAGGAGGATTGCCTGAGATCAGGAGTTTGAGGCTGCAGTGAGCTATGATCATGCCACTGTACTCCAGATTGGACGACAGAGCAAGACTCCTCTAAAATAATAACAAAAATAAAAAACAAATGGCCCATCAAAGCTGAGATTTCCCAGATGCCATTTAGGGTAAGGTGCGACTGACTGGGTAGTGCCAACTTGTGTGTCCCTAGGCAAAACACATGGACCAGAGGTATAGTGCTCTGGCTCACTGGGATCCGTGCAATAAATGACTAGTTATTTAGGCAGAAGGGGATTTCATGGAGACAGAGACACTCAAAAGAATCTTCAGAAACCCTGAGGGAGAGATGCATGGCCTCAGACACTGCTGAACTGGCCGTCCAGGATTGCAGCTGTTGAGACCATTGAGTTCCAGGTCACACAACTGTAGCATAATTTGAGGACCAGGAAGCCACTGCTGCCACCACAACAACTAGACTTTGCGTGTAGGTGCAGGGACCCTGGCCATTTCTGGAACCGTGCATATCGGCTGCAACACTTCACTTAATTTTCAAAGTCGTGTGTATATGGGGGAACTGCAAGGCGGAACTTACTTTCTGTCCAGTCCCCAGCTGCGAGGGAGGCAGGCTAATACAGTTCTTAGCTCTCCAGCTTCTGCCATCCAGGAAGGCAGGCTGGGGGCAGGTGTCATCCGATGCTGCACCAGCCCACCCGCCATACCCACCGCATGAGGCAAGAATTGCCAGGGGAGCTCCCCTGCTTTTGTGGGCTGGGGAGGAGGGTAGTGCAGTTTGATGGTGCAGTGCTAGTCACACATTTATAGCCAGGAAGAGAACATTGGCGGGGCACAGCCCCTCCCTTTCTACATGTGGGTTGGGGCACCGATACTGGTCTTGGCGGATGGCAAGGCAGCAACGGTCCTGGTAACTGAGTGGGGCACCTCTAGTCCAGGCCTGCAGCCTGCGCCGCCCCCAGCCTTACACCTCCCTTCCCAGGCGGCTCTGCCCCACCTCCACCTGCATTCCATCAGGGGGTGACAGGAGCTAACCCGGGCAGAGCGCCCAGCGTGTGCAACTTTTATACCCAGAGGAGACCTTGTCCCTTACCACCTTAAGAGCTCCAGAGGCATCCCATGCTCTCAGGATGAAGTCACCTTCCCGTTTTCTCTGCCATGCCCTGTGGTGTGCCAGGTAAGGAGGGATCTCTTAGCCGCCCCCGCTCCACTGCTCTCCTTCCGTCCACAAAGTGGAGGCCGCTCTTCCCCTGGGCCTTTCCAGAGGAAATCCCCCAGCTGGGCTCTTTCCAGCCCCACCGCCCTGGTCCCAGCTGCCACCTGTCTCACGGGAAGGTCTGCAGTTGCTGCATGTGGCAGGGTTCCTAAGACCACTTACAGGCTCACCGGTTCCCTCGGAGCACTGGCAGGACTCAGCATATAGCTGTCCTCACGGCTGTGATTTATTGTGACGGAAGGACGCAAGCACCATCAGCAAAGGGAAAAGGCGCGTGAAGTCCCAGGGAGGCCAGGCTCAAGCTTCGAAGTCCTCTCCCTGGGGAGTCACACGGGACGCACTTAATTCCCCCAGCAGAGGGTGCCCACCGAGGACTCCGTGCCCAGGCTTTTTATTGTGGGCTGGTCGTGTCATCACCCTCTGCTTGACATGTGTCAAAATTCTAGACTCCCAGAGGGAATGCAGGTGTTGTCATAAACCACATCATTTGTGTCAACAGCCTAGGCCTGGCGTCTCCGGGCTGCACTCTGGCCCCAGCTCTGCACCTGGCACAAAGAGACCCTGTTTGTTTGTTTGTTCGTTTTGAGACAGAGTCTCGCTGTGTCGCCCAGGCTGGAGTGCAGTGGCGATATCTCGGCTCACTGCAAGCTCCGCCTCCCGGGTTCATGCCTCAGCCTCCTGAGTAGCTGGGACTACAGGCGCCCACCACCACGCCAGGCTAATTTTTTGTATTTTTAGCAGAGAGGGGGTTTCACCGTGTTAGCCAAGATGGTCTCGATCTCCTGACCTCATGATCCACCCGCCTCGGCCTCCCAAAGTGCTGGGATTACAGGCGTAAGCCACCATGCCTGGCCTTTGTTTGTTTTTGTTTAGGATCTCACTCTGTTGCCCAGGCTGGAGTGTAGTGACTCAATCATGGCTCACTACAGCCTCAACTTCCTGGGCTTGTGATCCTCCCACCTCAGCCTCCCAAGTAGCTGGAACCACAGGCCCATGCCACCAGGCCTGGCTACTTTTTACATTTTCTGTAGAGACAGGGTCTTACCATGTTGCCCAGGCTGTTCTCAAACTCTTGGGCTCAAACCGTTCTCCTGCTTCAGCCTCCCAAAGTGCTGGGATTATAGGCATGAGC